GGTTGGGGGGAAGGGGGAGGGGTATATCAATGGCTTTATGGTTACCTTCACAACATCATCTAGTCCACCAGAAACAACCCAACGGCCATCAGGAGTGAATCTAATGGTACTAATTCCTCGAGTATGGCCCTTGTATATGTGGATGCATCCCTTCTTTCTAATGTCCCAAATCTTTATATTAGCATTCATAAGAACCAGATGCAAAGAACTAACCAAATGGATGGAATTCAATGGCAGTGCAATTAATTCTGTGTCCAGTAAGGGTGCGAACGACTACACTTCAACAAGAATCATAAAACAAATTAGAAAATGCCAAAAATTCCCCAAATACAAGCTTTAGTTTTAAAAGTAAAGGAAATGCCATGTGAAGGCCCTAATCAACAAAATTAATGAGTTAGATTTGGGATGCAAGCAATTAGGTTCCCAAGCCCAACTGAGACCAAACAACAGGATTATTTTCAGGTGCCTCCTTGAGTCATTAACTTATGCATTCCATTACAGTGCATGTGTCATGAGTTCCAATTTTCAAGTGCCATATCTTGGCACTTAAACTACTTAACAAGTTGTGCCACCAACTGTTTAGCAAGTGTTTTTCAACTTAAAACAATCAATGGAGTGAAAAGAATACTACTTACTCTTTGCTTCCTCCAAATCCCACAGCTTTATTGCACCAGTAGAAGCTCCTGTAACCACCAAAACCTCCGTTGAATCAAAAGCTACACATTCAACTGGACTTGTGTGACCAGACATGCTCTGCATATTTACACAAAAAAGAAGAGTGATATCCTGTCACAGCACGTAATGGTGTACCTAAACGTTGGGTCTCCTTGCCAAATTAGATAAAGTTGCAGACAAGGAAAAGTTATAGGATTAACATTAACATGCAATTAAAAAGAAAAAAATAAGTGGAGCTGATGAAAAAAACAAAAGAAAATAAGTGGCAAGTTTAAGTCCATGAAAGAATTATCCTTTGGTTAATTAAACCGTGTCTATTTCAATTCGGTTCGATAGAACCAAAACTACAAAGCAAGATATATAAAAAAATGAAAGCCACCCTGCTAAACCAAGTAACATTCTCTTCGTGTTAAAATCTTAACTAACAGAAACCCTAAGTTTTGACAAAGGCATCTGGCTCGGTTGCGAAAGCCAAAAAACAAGAGCAGTCGTGGGGTGGATTTAAGAGTTCTGCCTCTAAAAGCAAGACTTGATTCAGAGAGTCTGTTTCTGCTTTTCCTTTTTGAAACCTTTGGAACTCCAAAATGAGGGAAGGTGTATAATCGCTTTATTGTTCGAGTTTTTATCAGCTGAACGAATTCCTGTCAATGGGAGATGGCTCTGCGATTGGGTCGAGAATCAGAATCCGATCTACTGGCTTTGGATAAACCTATTTCCGATTCTAAGCTCCGGAGGCAGTTCTCCAGAACTTCCCGAGGAGAAAATTCGTCCAATCGCTCCTTCTCCATGGCTAAAGATAAGGTCTAGGAAGATGAATGCATCGCATGATAAAAGTAATAAAATGAAATCAAGAAAATGTGATTCAAGACATCTGAGATATAAGGAATTGAGTCCTTCACCTTGAGCAGAAATAGAGACGGGAAGCAGAGCCACTGAAATTTTATCTTCACCCAGAAATAGAGACGGTAACGACACCAGTGCCGTTACCGTTTTCACTATGGAGATAAACCCCATTCAAATAATAAATCACCAAACACGCCATTAAAAAGAGGGAAAGTAGAGGCTGAAGGCTCTAGAGCAGCTTCCATGAATTCTCAGACGAGGGAGAGGAAGGATGGATAAAGAAAAAGAGGGAGAGAAATGAAGAGAAAGCAGCGGTGGCAAAATAGATAGACAAGATGGGGAGAGCGGGAAGAAAGGAGAGAATGGGATACGTGTGTATCATGCAAGGAGATGGAGGCTAAAATCATGGCAGAGAGGAGGATAAGAAACAATCTGGGATCGATCTCTTCATCTCACCATGGCGAAAGCGAGCCCTCGTCCTTGAGCAATTCAGGTTGGGGCTAAGGTTTCAATATCTATAGAATGGTCCTATGGCAGTGTTGATGGTGGCGAGTAGTCGAAGAACAGAAGTAGAGGCGAATTGAATTCAGTTCTGAAATCAGGAGAGAGAGAGAGAGAACGCGAGGTGAGCACCGAGGAGAGAAGTGGAGAAATAGAGTGACACGCGTTATACATGCAAACGGAGGGAAAGAGATTTGTCTCTCATGCATTGCTTTAATATACATAAGATAAGATAAACCTTTGCAAACTTCTGGCTAGGTTCAATATCAAATGAAATGGTAGAGGTTTTAGACATAAAATTTGTGTTTTTGTTTGATTTTCTTTATTCATTGGAGATTGGAGAAAGGAGTGGGTAATTTTCATATTTTAAGACAAGGAAGTCATTCATGTCGAGGAAATGAAATAAGAATAATAATAATAAAAAAAAAAAAAGCTTTTTTCTATGCCAATGACATAATTCTTATTATTTAAACTGGTTTCTTTTAATTTGGAGAAATTGAGGTATTTTTAGTCCATAAGGATTAGGATTTAAGAGAAAAGGGTGAGGAAAAGAAATAAGTTTAGGTGGACATTTTGATAATTTAATGCATTCCATTATTGATTTAATGGTTAAGGGTATTTGTGGCAAAGTGAAAGTTTAGGAGGTCTTTGTCGCAAATGAAAGTTTAAAGGGCTCTTTGTTGCAAATTACAAAGTATGAAGGGATCTTTGTGTTTATCAAAAATAAAATTGCTAAAACCTCCCCTAAAGCTTTGATTGTTGTTGAAACCTCCCCTGAAGTTTAGCACCTCTATGAACTTTCATAGTTGCATGTTGATCCCTTTTGTTGGAATCTTCTATAAAGAGGCATGGAAATGTCCAAAATGCCCATACAGTTTGCTTTTGACCAAAATGTTTACAAATTTTCTCACATGAATTGTTAGCCCAAACCCTTTCACTCTTTTATGAAGTTGATTTATTTTCCAAATTTTCTCTTCATATCAATCATTCAAAGACAAAGCTGCAACTTTAAATTCTCCATTTTTTTTGTAGAAAACAACCTCAACAATACCTCTTTTTAGAAGATTCTAACAAAGAAGATCTACTTGCAAATTGTAATTGTATCAGAGTTTTTAGGGAGGTGATTGCAAATTTGCGATTATCAAACTTGGAGAGAGATTTCAGCAAGGTAAAAAATTTAAATAGAAGTTTCAACAATTTACCCCAAAATTAGAATGCTGATAAGAAACCGGAAACCACGAGTTCAGATCAGTGCCCCACAATCATGAGTTTGGATTTGCTCTCACAGAGCGCACCTCACAGCACTTTCCTGCCGTGCATAGGAAACATCTCCCATGATTAAAAATTTACAATTTAATATATTCCAGGAACACGGCTAAAACAAGGTGTGAAGTAGGTGTGAGGCACGAATTGGAATCTATTTCTCACATAGGGCGCCTCACATCGACCTCACATGCACATCTCACCTCACACGCACATCCTATCATGCATTAGGATGGTAGGATATTCTAAATGCACGGTGGATGTGCCTGTGAGGCGCCCATGTGGGAGGGGCAGATCCCGTTCCGTGTGAGGCGTTCTCCGGTCTCGTGAGACACGTTTTGTGAGGGCAGATTCAAACTCCACGATCACATCTCAACATGCATTGGAAGCATCTTTCGTACTTATCATGGGCAGATGTTTCCAAAACACGGTTGGAGTGAACTACAAGGGGCGCTCTATGGGGCGATGATGCAAAATTCGGAAAAGACTACATTCGGGAGATTCTGAAAAGAGTGATGTTTTGGCGTTTCAGAAATTACACAGATAAACACCAGCATCACAACCATCACCACCACCTTCGACGCGGAGGCATCCAATTCCAGGACAGACAGTATAGAACACATGTGAAGAAGTGGATTTTAGATTAGGAACAGGGAAGGGCAACCGAGGAAGAGACCATGAAGACGTATATCAGAATCAAGAATCCGATATGTACGGTCCAGTTCCTCTTGAGCTTAACAAAATAGCTCAGGGGAGGCTGCTGGAATTGAATCTCAAAGTCGTCCGTCTCGTCTGCCAGCCCGCTGTTCCTCCTCATCTTGATCTGTTTCAATCTCTCCGCCGCTAGCCGCAGTGTCAGCTTGTGGCACCGCCGCTGGTACTTGAGCCCATTGATGCAGCGGAGAGTCTGAGCCACCGAGACATAGAAGATGAGATGGGCCATGGTGAGGAGGCCGATGGGGACCCAGCAGTGGCGACACTGTAGCCTGGGCGAGTGGACCAGGGCAATGGAGACCAGGCCTAGGAAGAGGAAGAAGAACTGGAAGAGCTTCCAAAGCTCCTTCTTTTCGAGATCGACGGCTCGATTCTTCTCCAAGGTTTTTTCGAAGTGGAGCTTGATGGTGGTGTTTAGGGCTTGTAGGGCTGTTTCCTTTTGGACCGCTGGGTGTTCATAGCCCATCATTGCTAACTGCATGCCGAGTCCTGGCCCCTGACCTCCTCCTTCCCAGTTACCACCCAACAAGTGCGGTGGAATGATGCAGAGAAGAGACAAGATGGAGCAGAGATGGCTCCTGAGTCGTTTGGGTTTTGAGTGATTTTCCTCCGTGTTAGCTGAAGGTGTTTTGGGGGCCCTGAATACCTATGAGTTGAATCCGTTGCAGGATATCCCTAATTCAAGTAAACCTTCCAGCGTTTCAAGGGCAAGACAGTAGTTACATTCTATTAACATGCTGATGCCAAGTTCTATTTGGGGTTTCCAACTAATTGGTACTCACTATCTATTGAGTGGTGGGGAAAGGTTTCCTACCATTCACGGACCAATATTGTGTTTGTACAAGTTAGATAGGATCAAGTTAATAGGTATTCTGTTTCTTTGTTTTGAATCTCTCTCTCTAATTTATACTCTAAAGCCGTGAGCGGGTTTGGCATGCATGATTCCAGCTCCCTCCTTGTAGATGTCCTAAGTTCTCACTGTATTTTTTTTTTTTTCTGTTCCCTAATGAATTACTTGGTTTACATGGAATCCAATGAGTTACCCAAGTTCTTTCTTTCATTTCTTTTTGTGATTTTATTGGTCAACTCTTCATATTTTTTACTACTTCAGTTTTTTTTTTTTTTTTTTTTTTCAAAATTTATCATTGGTTATTTACTTGGTCAAATTATTGATCCCCCGATTTACAAATTTTGTCATTGTTTGTAATAGTGACAGGTGGAGAAATCTGATAAAACACAAGGGGAGGGTACATGTATCATAGGTGGGAGTTTTGCAAGATAAAAATTAAGGGTAAATTTCTGAAACCTCCCCTGAAGTTTCTGATCCTTCCTTCCAATACAATGGTAAGTGATCCCCTCTAGTAGAATCTTCAAAAAAGGCATGAAATTGTTCACAATAGCCATGTAATTACTATTGAGGCTGGTTTCTATTGGAAAAAAAATAGTACAAACTTTATAAACAACAAAAACAAAGAGAATTTATTCAGTTTTTACCTTTGAGTGATTGATCTGAAGGGCAAATTTGGAAAATAAATCAATTTCAGAAAAGAAATTAGAAAGGTTTTGGTTAGTGATTCATATGAAGAGAAAATTTGAAAAACAAACATTTTTGTTAAAAGTAATTGCATGGGTATTTTGGACATTTTCATGCAGTTTTTAGAAAATTCTACGGGAGGGGAATCTACTTGCAATTATGCTAGAAAGTTCAAGGGAGATGATTGCAAATACCAAACCTCAAGGGAAGTTTCAGTAACAACCAGAAATTCAAGGGAGGTTTCAGCAATCTACTCTAAAATCAAAAAAGGTAAATAAAAATTTGTGAGGTAGTGTAAATCATAATTTTCACTATTAGTTTAGATTAAAGTTTAGTCTCGTGTATTTCTTCTTGTCCAGAGAAGACCAAGTAGGAGATTAATGAAAACCAATAAGAGACTGGACATTACATTAATAGCCCAATAAAATAATGAAAATACTATTGACCATTCTCATTGCTAGTGAAGAAAAAAAAAAGCAGTTTTGCTCTAAAAATAGCTTTTCTTCTTTTGAGGTATTTTTATCAAATGCCATGTAAATAGCCCACAAATATTAGTAAACTTGTAGGGATTTGTATGATGCATGGGATTTGTCAAGGGAAAGTGAAATTACAGAAATTGATAACTATTATAAAGAAGGAATGCAATGTTGCTTAAAACAATTAATCTTTATTTTAATAATTTGTTACAAAAATAATTTTATAATTTGGATTACTTCATAAAATAATTATTTTTTCTATATAATCTATTAGTGTTCTATTTTATTCCTTTTACTTTATTAATGATTAAATATTACAACTTTTTGTAAATATTACTTAAATAATAAAATAGTTAAATATTAATAAATATATAAAATTAAGTTGTAGTCATAATTAAATTAATCTATAGATTAATTTTTATTAAATTAATAGGTTTTAACTATTTTAGATAAAAATTATTAATATTGAAGTAAAAGAAGCTATGAGAGATGGTTTACCCCATTATGTAATCTAATGAACAAAATAAATTAAATAAAATAAATTAAAGGGAAATTTTCTTAAACTAACCGACAAATTGAACTGTTAAAAACCACACCTACTATTTCTGACAATTCTACCACGTGGCGTAATTTTTTTTAAATTCAATACTGCCCTTCGTTCCACTTATATGTAATCCGGGTAGGAATCACCGCCTGTGAGCGGGACTGTTACCCCCGGCTGTAACAAGGACCAACCCATCTCTCGTCTGTTATCTTATCCCTCCCTTTATCTCTATCTCTCCATCCACTCCGTCGATGAGGATCAGAACGCGGTGGCTCTGATCTCCCCCTTGCAGAAGACAACCACCATCACCTTCATCCACCCTCCGATTCAGCACCTACTCCATCCCTCCAATGACCCAAGCTAGAGTATCGACAACGCTCTGATCTGTAGCTCACCATGACTGAGATCGAAGTGTTGTCTCTTCTCTCTGTTTCTCTTTTCTTTTTTTTCATCAAATTTTATTCGAAATCTGCATCGGCTTTTCCTATGCCGTCAATGATCTAAACCTGTGGAGTGAAGAACTGCGTTCAAATTAAACCTCTGCATCTGGACTGGTACGAGTGGTAGCAGAAACAGTAAATGTGAGTATCAAGCTGCACCGATCTCCAGTTGCAGCAGCAGTCGGTGAACACTGAGACCGCGGTGCTTGCCAGCGGGTTGACCCATCTTCTGATCAATCTGAATCCATCTTCTCTCTTTATTAGTTATCTTTCCTAGCGATTCAAATATCTAGATCAATCTGGATCAATCTTCTGATTTTCATAAATATACTGAAGGCAAGACTGTTGGGCAGAGATCCTCTATTAGCTCCCCTTACAAATTGAGTATTATTACCTCAAACTGTTAATTCCATGAAGGGGAGAATGGCTTGTATAGAGTTTGGAGATGCTGCCCCATAGTTCAAATCAAGATTGTGGAGCTGTTCCTTGAAGAAGTCGAGGTGTGTTGTTAATTCCACCAAAGCAGAAGATGATGCAGATGGTTGCCTCAGTCAGATATTTCATCCCCTGTGACAATGCAATCCAACGGATAGGCCTTGACCCACAATGCATAGAGCTCATCCACATTAGGCATGATGAGTCTACACTCTGCTTATCAAGAGTAGCTGTGTTCAGACCTACATTATCAACAACACACGGGTTGTGTTCTTAAACAAGAGTCCTCAGCACAGGACTGAAAAGGGGGTCGCCAACACTTGTGAGGTCTGCGAGCGTTAGCCTCCTCAGGTTGTGTTCTTAAACGAGCGTCCTCAGCCCAAGACTGAAAAAGGGGGTCACCAACACTTGCGAGGTCTAGGAGCGTAGCCTCCTCAATTCTTTCCGATTTTCTATTCTGTTCTCTTAGTGGAGGGAAAATTTTTGAAAATTTGAGAAATAGTAAAGGGCAAAAGGGACATTTCATCCTTCCCATCAATTGTTAGAAGCACTAGGGGTGGTTTAATACAATATGTAAATAGTGAGGATAAAGTTAGGGGCCGTTTGGAAAGTCTTTTTCAAAAGATCTTTTGGAAGCGCTGACAATCAAAAGACAGTGAGTTTTTGCATTAAGATCGTGACAGGTTGAGGACCATTTGGTTAAGGCATGTCTTTCTACACGTCTTTACGTGTGAACACGAGTTGAAAAGAAAAACGAAAAACTCCAAAAATCGCCAAAAACGGGCTTTGCACGTCTTTTCGCTGCAACATCTTTTGGCAGCTAGATTTGAGTCTAATAAAAAATTATTATTTTATGTATATATAGTATAACTATGTATTTATATAGATATTATGTATAATTATATAAAATTTATAATTGATAAATTTAATATTTTTGTATACATATATATTTAAAAAATAGTTTTTTAAAACTTTTTAAATTTTTTTGGTCATTTTAAACACAATAAGATAGTAGTGAATTAAATCCAAACTTGACCTAATAATTGGATGCAAATGCGGATTTAGAGATTTCATAATCAAATGCAGATGCATATGTAATTGGATGATCCAATCTAAATCCGATCCATTTACAACCCTATTGTCCATATTATGTATGGGTTTGGTGCAGATCTGAGCTAGACCTAGCTCAGAAGAAAATAGTTGCTTGATCTCAAAAATGTGTAGGTCTAACAAGGTTAGGCTAAATTATAAATGATCATCCCTAAGTAGATGGAGTTTTATGACATTTCTAATTGTTGCATTATTTGTTTTATTATTTTAATTAATTTTTATAAGGAACACAAATGATTTATTTTATTACTTTTAATAAGATTTTTACTTTTTATTATTAATTTTAATTATTCTATTAATATTAATTATTTTTAAAAATAATTAAAATGCATATTTTAATAATTAACTTTTGTTAATTTCTTAATTATTAATAGTTGTTAAAGTTGCTAAAACTTAATATTTTCATTAACATTAATAGATTTAGTTACTAGGTTTCAAATTATAATCTTTGGCAATTAACCAATTAAATAGAATTTGAATATGAATCAAATAAATGGAATTTGGATGAGAGTAAACTTCTTTCTTTTTGAAATACAATAAGCTAATAACGGAAAAATCCTATAGAAATGTGCTAAAATAGGTTAATGATGGAAGGGGTAGGACCTGTCATATTCTCTTTCTCATCTTTTTAGGTGATTTAACTATTTATTATATTTTTACTAAATAATTTTTAAATTGTAATTTGTTTATGGGTTGGATTGGGCCCAAACTAATCTTGGAATTTGTGAGCCTACAGGCTAGACTAAAATGATCACCCCTAAGCAAATTACTTTTGGTTTATTAGATTAATAAGGAGAGATGAGAGAATAAAATAAAAAATAAAAAAAAATGAAACAAAGCATTAGTAGAGTAAGTTATTAGAGGAGAGAGAGTTAATGGAATGACTAATAAAGAAAGATGATCCTTTTTTTTTATGAGAAGAGATAATCAAAGGAGTTAATGAGAAAGAAAAGAGAGAGTTAATGGTGAGTTACTGAGGAAAGACGAAAGTCTTTAAGATTTAAAGTTGATTAGCTAGTTGAATTATTTTGTTCAATTTAAAAAAAAAACACAAAATAGATAAATGGTAAGCAAGAAATGAAAGACATGCTGACATGGCAGGCCAGTTTCAATATATAGATATAGATGTCTTGCAACCTTAAACACCATTCAGTGACAAACCTTTCAAGCTGAAAGTGTTAAGTTCAGATTCGAACTAAGTTGAGACCAGATCCAGACTTGGACGTATAAATAGGGACTGGATCTGCTCATAATAAAGTATTATTCTGACATGATCTGTCTCCCCACATCTTCTCATGAATTGAGACAAGCTATGTTGAGATTAGACCTGTTCATGGGCCGGGTAGCCCGACGGCCCCGGCCTGGCCCGGCCCGCACTCTGGTCGGGCTTGGTCATATAATTAGGCCCGCGGGCCTGACCTCGGGCTTAACACAGTAAGCCCGACTGTGTTTCGGGCCGGATTCAGGATTTGTCAAAAAAGCCCGGCCCAAGCCCGGCCCGGTCCGACTCGGTATTATATATTTTATAAAATATATAATATGTATTTTATATATTATATAAAATATATAAATAATATAATATTTATTAAAATATATATTTATAATTTAATATATATATATATTTTATTCTTTTCTTTATAATTTCAATCTATCTCTCTCTTTATTCAGCTGCTTCAACATTATTAATAATAATAATATAGGCTAAATTTCGGGCCCAGGCCCAGGCTCGGGCTTCGAGCTTTTTATGAGGACCGGGCTTGAGCCCAAATTATAGGCCCGATGGTCGGGGCAGGCTCGGGCTCGAGCCTTAAAAAAATTTGTTAATACACAGTAAAAGCCCGGCCCGAGCCCGGCCCATGAACAGGTCTAGTTGAGATATATGGACATAGATCATGTTAGAATGTATTGAAAAAGTATTTTGTTGTGAACAAATCCCAGTTTGTACAAGTATGGTCATTGGTTTGGTCTTCTTATGCAGAACAAGACTATTGCGTGCAGTGATGACCAGCATGTGGAGCATGGGTGGTCGTGGGCCAGGCCGGGCTTTTCACCTATGATAGGGGTATCAGAACCTCCTGGTCCTAGCTTGGGCTAGGTTTTAGGGGCATGATCTGTAGCTCATCCCCATGGCACCTCCTTACTTTGCCCTCTCCCCCCTTCCTAATAATGTCATGTGAAAAGCCACAAATCCCCTTTTAATTTACTCTCTATCTTTTTCTCTTTGAGTAATGATCACTTCTTTCACAGTGTACTGTGTGCAGTTTTGTTGGATCTTATCTTAAGGATCTCTTGTTATAATTTCGGTAGGGAAATAGACTGGATTTATTATTTCTGAAGAGCACTAGTTTTTTCATTCTTCAAGAAAATGAGGTTGTCAATAGTATGTATCCTATCTAAGTTTGCAATTGGCATAAATAAAAGATCTTGGATGGAATATTTGAAGTCCAAATTCATTTCCAAAGAATGAGGGCATTACTGGCACCTAGAAGGAAAATGTACAAGAACAAGATCTCACCTAGCATGCTCCCAAGATGTTAAATTCTCTCTTGCTTAAGGCTATTATGTACTGTAATTTAGGCTCAGTTTGGAAGGAGTACAAATATAGATATGTACAATGTAAATATATATAAAATAATATAAAATACAAGGTTTTGCACTCTATAAATTTGTATTTATACTCTTTCCAAACTGAGCCTTAACATTACTTCATCATTAAGAAACCGAACAATAACAAACTCATAAAGATATCAAAACACAAGAAAAATAAGAGGCACAAAATACATGCAGATTTACGTGGTTCAGCTCTATTTCTCAATTAAGGTTTACAATTGTTGATGCTCTAAAACATGTATAAGGCGTTATTCATCATAATCCCAAGTGTTTGTGTCAGTTAGAGAAATCTTTTCCCACCTTTCTGGTTCTACCAAAATCCATGTCTTCTATCAAATAATGATATTTTATTTGATCTTACCTTACTTTTTTAGAGACTTATGTACAATTTCACTGATGTCTATGCAAATGATCAAACCATCTCAGTCAACTAATTCTTCCTCAACTTTTCCCTTCTAATGCTTTCATTTCCTATCCTGTCCTTTTCAGTCTTCACTAACGATTTCTTACCCACATTCCCTTCTAATGTACAACTGTTGTGACATGTGGGTAGAAGATCTGAATTCCTCTTAGTGAATGACAAGGAGATATTCTCTCAATGCACACCTCACCTGTAGATGGAGATGTGAAAGGAGTTTGTGGGCAAGAGATCCAAAGCTATCCAGTCTTGCAATTCATTCATTCATCTCAACTAATACTCTTTTTCAAACATATTGTCTAGTAATTACCTATTTAACAGACCCTTTTGTTTGTGAGCCTAAATTTGACAAGCAATAACAGGGACCACTTCCAATTCTTGGTTAACTAGTTGATATTTTTGTAACAGGTAAATGCAATTTGCCAAATCACTGCACAATAAAACATCACCGTCAGATATGGATTATCAATTTATGGAGCTTTTATGGCTGGGCCCCAAACTTGAGAAGTGGGAAGTTAAACATAGCAAGAAATAGTGGGAAAAAAGAGTAGGCTTTTAAAATAGTCATTTACTAAAGCACCCCTATATTTTGATGAATTTATTAAAAATTATCCTATAATTTGCATTTTATTAAAATACCCCCTATATAGTTTGCAATTAATTTATTTAATCCACTTTTTAGTCAAAAGAAAGTAAAATAAAAATATCTTTTTTGTCCCTCATAAGACAGGAGCAGCAACCACTCTTTGAATATATTTCGTCAATTTTATTTTCTATAAGAAGTACGTGGTAGGGGTACTTTTGGAATAAGCAATCATGTGAAATGATTCGCATCTATTTGGTTCAGTGGGAGTTTCCTGAGAGGTGTTTTTTTATATAAATGTTTATCTGAAAAACGCCACTTGGTTGTATGTTTTATGGGTGTTTCAAGTAACACCCCATAAAGTTGCTTTCCACCTCATAAAAAGTGCATTTCATCAGCATTTGAATTAAACTACCATTGCTTTCCCCAAATGACTCATGCACATAAATAAAAAAGTTTCAATTTTTTAGTGTTTAGTTAATAAATAGTAAAATCAAACAGTGGTTTCATATGTAATAAACACCAATGCCTATGTGGCACTGATGTGGGACGTTTTTTTAATAAATGGCTACAAAATCATACATATATAAAATAGGTAAAACTATAAGAGTGTTTTAGTAAAATGAAAATTATAAATCTGTAAAACTATAAGAGGCGTTGTAGACTTCTAGTAAATGATCCCTTTTAAAAATACAAGCTAACCCATTCAAAGATCATGGTAGTTTAATTCATCCTCAAATCTATACATTGACAGAGGCCAACAATTTCATTGTGAAGGGCAGAAGGATTATACTTTAAAAAAGAAAAAGATCTCCTTGGTGACAAATGAGATCAAATCCTCTTTCTTTTGTTGGCTACCTCCTCCATGTGATATCATGAAGATAAATTCAATTGTAATGAAGCAAAGAGATCAGACCAAGTCAAGGCCATCTGTCACCATTACATGCATTCATCTTTCTTTTCCAAAGCATCAAGCTTGTTGAAACCGGAAGGTCTCTTTCTACTGCTGGGGACTGGTTGGGTGTGTTGGTTTCAGTTTCTTTCTTTCTTTTATTAAAGCAGTTTTATTCAAAAAGGAAAAACAAAAGACTCATAATTTAAGAGATGGGTGCCCATAAGGCAGTGCCATCACTTTGTCGGGTGATCAAAATGTTATATAATTGGTTCAACTGATGATCAGACGATTCTCTGGGTTTATTAATGGAGTCCTACTACTGTGCAAGCCATAATGAGTCTCTGCACGAACCCCCACATTCATTGCACCTTTCTTCTCTGGTAAACCGGTCATTGGCAGAAGAAGTAGCAGTGGGGAACAACGGAGTTTCATTTCTTCGGTCCAATTAAGGGGAGTGATTTGGACGCATCCATGTTTTGACTTTCATCGTTGCAAACAACGGAGGGATGTGCTCCGCTTATCATAAATGGGGTGTGTCCAGAATCCAAATCGCTTCCCTTTAAAAATGTATACAAACAAATAAATAAATCGTCTAGTACTTCGTGAATCCTTGTCAGTTCCAACTCCTGAGCGTATTAACTATGAACAATGAACTTACTTCCAAATTTCAAATGGATTAATAATCAAAGTTTTCTTTTTCCGAATTTCTCTCAGCAGTACAGATTTTCATGGAATTGGACGAGATTAAGAGAATCCATGAAATGGAGGAAATAAAATTAAAATGCCGTGAAGAAACTGTAAAAGACGGCACTCGGCGGAATCTGTAGACTGAAGTTTTGGCGTTACAAAAATTACACACATAAAACACCGGCGACACAGTCATCCTCACCACCTCCGACGTCGAGGAATCCAATTCCGGGACGGTGTAGAACATTCATAAAGAAAGTAGGGTTTGGATCAGAAACAGAGAAGGACAACAGAGGAAGAGACCATGAAGCCGTATATCAGGATCAGGAATCCGAAATGCATGGCCCAGTTCCTCTTGAACTTACCAAAATAGCTCTCGGGAGGCTCCTGGTAGTGAATCTCGAAGTCATTCGTCTCGTCCGCCAGCTCGCTGTTCCTCCTCATCTTGATCTGTTTCAACCTCTCCGTCGCCAGCCCCAGCGTGAGCTTGTGGCACCGCCGCTGGTACTTGAAGCCATTGATGCAGCGGAGAGTCTGAGCCACGGAGACGTAGAAGATGAGATGGGCCATGGTGAGGAGGCCGATGGGGACCCAGCAGTGGCGGCACTGTAGCCGGTGGGACTGGACCAGGGCAACGAAGACGAGGCCCAGGAAGAGGAAGAAGAAGTGGAAGAACTTCCAAAGCTCCTTCTTTTGTAGATCGACGGCCCGTTTCTTCTCCAAGGTTTTCTCGAAGTGGAGCTGGATTATGGTGTTTAGGGCTTGTAGCGCTGTTTCTTTTGGGACTGCTGGGTGTTCATAGTCCGCCATTGCTGACTGCTGGGTGCTGGCCCCTCACCAGTCAGTAGTCAGTCACCTCCTCTTTCCCACCCAATAAGTGCGGTGGGTGGGTGGATGTAGGGAAGAGACAGAGGTGGAGCAGAGCCAGAGATGGATGGAAAACCCAAAATGTTTGTTTGAGACTTTGAGTGGTGTGGGGTTTCGTTTCCGAATGATTTTCCTCTGAAGACTGAAGGTTCTTGACTGCTTGCTTTTGGTTTTGGGCCCTGCGGCCCTGGATTACCTATGAATTGGATCCGTTGCTGGATTCTTAATACAAGTAGACCTTCCAGGGTTTTAAGGGCAGGACTGTTGCGTCAGTTCAAATTTTGCATTCCTATCTGGGGATCCAGAAAAGCAAAGGATCCTGCGATTAGGTACCAAGTAAGTAGCAACTATTGAGTGATAGGGAGTGAGGTGCCCTAAACGGAGAGGCCTTCCCTGTTATTAGTCTGGACTCTGGAGTGGACTATCCTCTCTTTTGAGTTTTGAGCTTTTAATGGTTCACGTGACAAGGGCCAGGGCCCAAGGCTAGCTTCCAAAATCCGATAAAATAGGGCCAAAAAGCCCAAAAGCTTGACGGTGAAATGGTCCCACTTAAAATGACGCGCATGCCGCATGGAAGATTTGGACGATTCCTTTTTTAGTAGTGGCGGCAATATTTAACATGGGACTTCCTCATAAATAAAATTAGTGGATTTCAGATTGATTAATCCAATTAATAAAACTGATAATTTCAGATTGATTTATTTAACTCGAAAATGATCTGTTTATGATCCAAAGTTTCAACTTTCTAGATGAAATATTACCATAGTAGGTAAAGATTATATTAAATGACTTTTATGAATTTGTTTAAATAATGATTATTAAATCTTTATTTTCCAAATTCAGGTAAAACATGCCATTTAATTTTGATTTATAAATGGGTTTAACATTTTAATTCATGTAAACATCATGTCGTATTACACGAGGTTATGTCCATGTTTTAAAATTTGACGCCATTAAATGTTCATATTCATGTCGATCTAAATATCCCTACCTTAACACGACACGAGAATACGAATTACCATCCTTACTTTTTACTACAGGGCCCACCTATGGAAATCCTTTGTCAGTATTCTTTGCCAGCAAGAGGTAAAGGGGATATCTTCACTATATATGAGTAAGCAGTTAATATCTCTGCAAATATTTTCAGCATAAATATCCACAACAAAAATATGGCAAAAAAGGGTGGAAATGAGGATAATATCCCGGAACCAAGCTATGAATTGGCAAAAAGAAAGATTGAAACTTTTCAGAAGATGGTAATCTAAGTGCAGAATAAAAGTATAAAAACAACAATCTAATAATCCTAGCTGAATTGCACATGGAAGATGGAACAACTTTGGTTAAACGGATGGCTCAACCAATTTCTGCATATATCATGCCTAAGTCCATAATCCCAAAGAAGGTGGTCTAATAGAGAATCGCAATTAGTGGAAAGCAAGTAGATTGATAATAAGTTCCATAAAATCTGTTTGTGAAATTCAATATTATTCATGGGAAGACGTTTTTTTTTTTTTTTTTTTTTTGAGAGGGGGGAAAGTTGGTCAATGGGATTGCATAAACCAAGAAGTTCATATTCTTTTTTCAGATGTTTGGGGTTGGATTATGATATGGAAAAGATATGATATTGAGTAAGTGATACACATCTCTTAGGTGGATAAATTAACTTTCCCATCTAGGGAAAAGTTGTCAAAACTTGGATGGGACAACACTGCCCCTTTTGATAATAGAATTTTCATGGCTAAAATGGTTATCATCTTATTTACTTGAAAAATAAAAGAACATGGGTAAATACAATAGCTTACTGAAAAATGAATGGAGCCTAGGTGAAATGAATTTTAGCTTTCAACCAAAGAAAAAATCCAATAGTGTGTATTGGGAAAGATTGGATGTATTCATTGGAAGTAGACAAAACCATCAAATTATTAGTATTAGCGTGCTTGGTAATTACGGCGGTGTTCAACATCAATGTCATTGCTCCAGAAAACGGTGACACATCAGCACCACGTTGGAAAAATCGGTGCTCCAGAAAACAGTAACATGTTTTGAACCGTTTTTCTATAAAAAAACAGTGCTCCAAACCATGCTTTTGAAATCGATAAGGCATGGTCTGGGGAAACACCAAATTTGACGTTTTTCTCAATTTGGAGCTCGTTGCTACCAACGAGAACATAATGTGGCAGTGACATGTACTTCCTATAATGGGTACCGGTGCTGAAAATAGATGGTACAAAACAGAAGTTGTTATTGTTGCCCCAGGAAATGTCCTATCTGGCAGCAACTTTTCCAAACAAAAAAAAAGACACCATTTTCTCAAAACACTCTACTATAAAACCACACAGAAAACGGTGATGTATATACAACATTGATGCCAAAAATATACTACATTTATATTGCTATGGGACACAAAGAAATGGGAAATCCTACACGGGAAAATACACACAAAATCCATTTAAAATAATAAACCAAACCAACCAGACTTATATAATAAAAGTGATGAACAATAACCCAATTCCTTGATACAGGGAGGAGAGTGCATCAAATGATACATATACATCTAGCTTGAGTTATCTTTGTTTTATATGCATGAATGGGTCACATGATGCTATTTGTGATAGGCATACAATGATACAAAAGTCTCCTTCATAGTCTCTAAGCAAAAATAGAATTAAATCCAAATACAATTCTTGTTTCATATTATGCAGAAGGTACAGTGAGAAGAAGAGTCTGAGAGAAAGTTGTTGACAGTAGACCATATAAAACCTGCTTCCAAAATAAACAATTCTCCATATTTTGGACCCATCGAAATGGTTGAATCAAGGTGTTGGACTAGCATGCATAGTTGCATACCATCTGTTTGTACTTTTTCCGCTGTAAACTATAAAAGTATCTTTGTTGCACCCAAGCAACTGGACCTGGACCAAATCAGAGACACCACGCCACCAAAACTTCCACTAATTAAGCATCAAACCAAAAGTGATCGAGAAGAGGCAACCATGATCAATCACTGACCCCATGACCCATCGAGGTCGGCTTCAGTCGCTGCGAGGCCTTCAAACACTGTTGGAACAGCCTTGCATCGAAAACAGCTATGATGGTTGTTCAAACGGGCCTTGCAGTGACTGAATCCCATCACTGACCCATCTCCCTGTTGCAGAGAGTTCTAGTAACAAAGAAAAGAAAAAAATGGGGCGATTGGATGACTGTAATCATTTGCAATGAATTGACTATATGCATCACACGTCTCCATGAAGTTATTGTGTCCACCAATACACGGATGGAATCATAACCAATTGGACCCAAATTCATAACTAATTCCTTTTAGTCCACTCAAAATGTTGTTTCATGGCGCATACACAGGCCCCACAGCCCAGCCCAGATTTCATCTTCATTTTCCTCTATGGCTGCAACACAAATTGAATCGGAGTCTTTTGTTCAAACGGCAGCAGAAACAACACACACCGCATCATCATTTTATTTATACCATCGGTTGTTTCTACTTGTTTAAATAGATATATTTATCTCGGTATAGATAAAAAAAAATTGTTTAGATAAATAAGGTTTCAGCATTTTTGTATGATAAGTTAGTAGTAGGAGAATGACGATTCAGTAGGGTCAGAATTTTTAGACTCAAACTCAAAGAATAATTGGGGGTAAATTCATAGGTTTCAGCATTTTGATAGCAATTCATAGATGAACATTGGTGCATAATAAAATGGAATATTTAACAATTTAAATATTTATAGGTTTTCCCTAAAGAGAGATGTGGAAGGGAAAAGAGCATTATCGGCAGCACACGGGAAAATTGCTTATCTACATTGCACGAGGGTATCATTAGCCCAAATAATTGATACTATCTATCTTCAATTACTATAAAACCCAATACAACAGCACATGAACGTGGCAATCATACTCAATTTACCATTAAATACTAGCAAACAAACATAACCTTCCAGTGGGCCGTGCATGAACCTATTGGCTCAGAAGTAAGCATTCCTGAGCCATAACTTGCCACGTGTACATGTTGAGGACCAAAGACCGCGTAAAAGAACATGCAACCCCAGATCCGGTGGATGGCCCAAAAGGGGCACAACTCTCAAGATTCCTGCGGTAGAAACTGACAGGCGCAGTTTAGCGTGGTTTAAGGCATCGGATGCCGCGCACGATAAAGGAGGACATGTGAGCTAGGTCAGCTTTTGTCTCGCTGCGTGCGTCGGCCGCAGCCCATCAGCTCATTAACGGACATCTAGGACATTCCCCCCATCTATATCGGTACAATCTTTCATCTGATAGCGTTCTTGCCGTCTCGGAAGTTGGAGTCGTGTACCGTTTACGGACTCGTTTCTGCGACATGTCTGGGCCTCCGGGGCTGACGATTGGGCTGGGACCCATTATTTAGTGGCCCAAAATTGAAGAAACTCCCCATACAAAGAATGATTTGTTCATCGTATTCTGTGCCGTGATGGAATGGTCCGTTTCAACGGTAACCCCTCGTAGTCCTAGGGCCTACTGTTGTTCGAATGCACCCCAATCTCAAACCCTCGGATAAAGCTCCGGTCGAGTACCCTTATTAATTTGGGGACCGTTAGCATCAGAGGGAAAGTCGAAAGTGAAAGGAGAATGAAAAGAAACGGTGGTCATGAGTCATGACTCATGGTGTTTTGATGATCATTACAGCACAGTTTTAGTTCAGTTCAGTACTTCAGTTGGGGAAGTACGGAGCAACTGAACGGGACTCAGAGTTTTGGGGCCCACCTGCTGTTTTGATGATCATTTGGTGGCCCTTTCCAGGAGATGATCGATCGTCGGATCTGGCATTCTTTATTAAAGTCTTTGCTTGTCCAATCTTGACCGACCATTTTGTTGGGTTTCAGGTTGAAAGATGATCTATTCCGAAAAAATGGGGCAATAAATCAATAATAACGTTCAGTGGTGTGTTGTCGTGTTGTAGACTGCCGGATTCCTTTTCTCCTTGCTATGTGCTAAATGAATGCCACCCATCATCATGATGTGGAGCTTGTTGTGGGTCCCAGTTGGAACGGTATGGGATAAGTCAAACTTAGCCCCGAATAAATATGAACTGGCCGGATTGGAACTGACTATTTTCCTTGAAACATTTGACCTTTTGATCTCTTTTACTTTGTTCTTGTATCCCTTTTATCCGTTTTATGATGCATCTTATGTTGATGAAGATTGGAACTGTTTTACCATTTTGAAGCTTGTGTTTTTGTTCTTCTGTTCTTTTTTTTATTATTATTTCTTGAAAATGTCAATATCAGAAAAAAAAAAACCAAAAACCAAAAACAAAGCTGACATGGGCTATTTTCTATTTAAGTGTTACTGTGCACACACTGAAATTTCTCATGGACCAGGCTCCTTGAATCTCAGTCACCAACACACACTTAAATGGGCCTGG